TATATATATATATATATATATATATATATATATATATATATATATATATATATATATATATATATCGTCACATTATTATCAGAGCGCGAAGGCGAAAAAAAACAGAAGAAAACGAGAAAAAAATAATTCGTTTTTTTTTTTCTTTCTTACAACTCCCCCTGTTGAGAACCTCTTACGTACAAGGCCGCCCACGTGGATGTAGGTTGAGCGGCGGCTGCCCTCACTCCCGTGTGTCATATCGACCCACTTCACACAGCCAAAAGGCAAAGACTCGAAGAAAAGAGGAAGAGAACAACCAAATGAAACACAACGGAGGGCAACAAAACTGATCCCAGATGACAAGTCCCACATGCAAGCACCGCCCCAACGTACACAGGCCAAACGATGGGACAAGACGAAGCAAGATGTCAAAACATTCTTGTCTGCAAAGAAATCAAAAGAAATCTCAGATACATAGCTGTACACAGCAGATGGCCTTGTTCGACATTCCTATTCGGCATCACTGTAAGCAAATCGTACCAGGACATCATAAAAAACAATCCTAGATGATGATTCTCACATAAAAGCACCGACCTCATGCAGGCGGAACAACGGGAAACAACCAACTAGGATGCGAAGACAATAAAAAAAACAACGGATGACTGGTCCCACATAAAGCACCGCTACGCCCGTGATATAGACCGAACAACGGGAGAAAACCAACCGGGATGCAGACAAGGTTACCACACCACAACAAATCTACCATATCCATAGTAAAAAAAACGGAACCATTCGGTACGCCCACAAAACGAAACACTCCGACGACGGGGATAAATGAGCAACACAAAAAAAGGGATGATAGGACGATGTGTCAAGCTATTTTCGACGTAAATGAATCCACGTGGGCGACCTTGTACGCAGGAGGTTCTGAACAGGGGGAGTTGTAAGATAGAAGATAGAAAAACAAATTATTTTTTTTCTTGTTTTCTTTTATTTTTTTCGCCTTTGCGCTCTGATATTCATGTGACGATATTTTTCTGTTTTTTTATTATCTTCTATGTTTTTTTTCTTCTTCTTTTCGGTGTCATTTTTTGTCTTCCCCTAAATGTTGTTGATTTTTATTTTTTTTTTAATTTTGTTTTCTGTGTTGCGAACACGATCATGGGCACAAAAGGGACAACGTATATCTTGGTGAWAGGGATGTGTACAATGAGGAAATGTTGGACACCATTCAACACAAACAGCGGTAGTCGCAATAGTTTGATAATGGTGATGGCATAGATGATGAATGCTACAACCAAGACGCACCGCGTCTCTGCCCCGACAGGTGTCACACCAGAGTCAATCAATAATCTAGAATAAAGTATGATTCAGCAATGCACCCAAAAACTCGTTTACATTGGAAATAGCCTGAATCATCGTCCCACCATCCCACAGTTCTCACTGGGCAGCTGCACGATGGAGCGCCATATAATGCCCGGGTCTGTGCCATATATATATGTGACGATATATATATATATATATAAATATATATATATATATATATATATATATACATATATATATATATACATATATATATATATATACAGGGTAATCGGCGTTCGGGACGGGCCGAATGCCCGAACGGATGGGAGCCCATGGGGATGCGTTTGGCCGTTCGAGCCGAACGCGGACCCAAAAAAAAAAAAACACAAGTCATCAAACAAATCTGAAAAAAAAATATGTTATGGAGAGACATACAATAAACAAGATTTTCTTGAGCATTACATCCGAATTCCTTACCAAATTTTAAATAAAAATAAAATACACAGAACAAATACTAATCATAAAAATAAATAGAAATAAAAAGAGAATTAAATTTAGTGAGTGCGCGAGCATGTTTTCGACACCGCCATCTTTGGCAATTTTTCATTTTTTTTTGGCATAGCTAAATGCCCTGAAAATTTACAGATGTGTACTTCACATAATACAAAACCCACTAAATGTTTTTTAAAAAAATAATAAAATTGTTTAAACCCCGAACTAAAGTGAAAACGAAAAGTACAAAGTGTAAAAATACGTGGGCGAGCACGTTTTGACACCGCCATCTTTAACGATTTTTAATTCTTATTTGGCTTAGCCAAATGACGTCATAGAGAACTCGCCTAAAAAAATTCAGAAAAAAATAATTATTTTTAGGCCCCGAAATAATTTTTGGCAGGGGCCGAACGCCGTCGGGTTCGGACCCTGTACGGGACCCTGAACGCCCGTACGTACGGAGGTCTGCCCTAAGGACCTCCATACGTACGGGCAAGTGACCCAGTATATATATATGTATATATATATATATCATCACAAACAGAACTGCCCGGTAAACTGTAGGCAGAGAGAGAGAAGAGGACAACAAACGAGGGGCTATGTATATATATATATATATATA